GAACGCTTTTGATTCCACTAATTTATTCGTGTTTTTCTCGTTGCCATGTTCCCACCAATCACGTAGCTCCATTTTCTGCCTTTCTGCACACACAACCCACAATTCCTCTATTCGCTCCGACGAAGGGCTAACGCTCGAAACGTTAGCTTTTATAATCTTAACGGTGGCCAATTTACCATTTCAACTTTGTTTATATATTGAAATTATTATATTTTTTTGATATCTGTATGGTATATAATCAAACAATTATTCACGTCAGTGTCGGTAAAAGTGGTGGATATAAAGTCAGGGTTTATGTTGTTAATTATTCCAGATGTTAGCGCTGATAGCATGCTTTCCTATGCTTAACAATACCTGTACGTTTCACCTTTTTCATAAAATAACTAATTTGACTTACGAAATAAATTCATTTTAAAAAATTGCTGAAGAGAAGTCTTTAAAAATTCAGACTTCGACGGAATGTGAACCCGTGCCTCCTGGATACCACTTGAGCGTTATACTACCATAACAAACTGGGCTACACAGACACGTGTTGGGAGCGAGGCAAATTTTAAATGGTTCTTCTTTCACGATGCTTGACTGTATGTTTACCCGTGTTTGGCGCTGATTTAATGTTATCTCGCCTTCAAATATATAGAAACTGAGAAGGTGGTTTTGTCCACGTACCTCGCGCGTCCGGAGCAATGGATATCTCTCCAGCAGCAACTGTAAGATAAATAGAAACACAACAGGTCAAGCTGAGAAACATGTTTGCAATTCTTTTTTGAAATAATTTTAACATCAGCAAACTTAATTTCCCCTCATAGTCCAACTTTTGACTGTCCTTGTAAGAAGTAATAATATGCAATTGCCTATCTTACCATTAACAAACAAGTCGTACAATTCAGTTTTGCTTTCAACAGATGCATCAGTGAAGCCAGCGACATAAGTTATGTTTGCTGTAAGCTTCTCAAGTTCCTCATCTTCGAGATGAACGTAAGGATAGAGTATGCTCCAGTTCTGACGGTGCCATACTAATAAAGGTAACGCCCTAAAAAAAAAAAACAAACAAACAAACAAATGCATACACCCAAAAGTTACCTCACTGAGACCATTCATTATTTCCTAGATGTTTCCTGTAAGAACTAAAAAAAGCACTTGCTTTACCTAGAGTTCATCAATTTGCAGCTGATTAGGAAAGCCACAAATCCCTACCTGTGCACAATTGCTTGTAACTGTTTCAACCACAATAACTGGATAAATTAAAAATTATGAGCTTTTTCCTATTTAGTCTGGAAGGTCAGTTCTAAATTATTGGAATACTAATGATAGCTGTTGCATTGCCAGGCCGTAGAAACCTAACAAACACTATGATAAAACAATTTGTCAGGTTTCTGAACCAGTCAACCTTTTTTAAATACTATACCAGGTTTAACAAAAGGAAACAGAATAAACTTGAGGGTCAGTGTGGGAGGGGGAACTGTGCCAATGACTTCTCTGGAAATAAATTTTAGAGTTTTGGTTTAAAGTTATTTGGATCAGCCAATTGGCAGCTTAACAAACTCAATCAAGTCACTAAATACACCAGGTTATTAAAAAAGCTGATGTTTCGAGTATTAGCCTTTTACCATTTGCTCTGATGAGGGCTAATACTCGAAATGTCACTTTACAGAGGCCAATTTACATTATCAAACCAGTTGATAAAAGCAAAATTACCCTATCAACAGCATAAATTTACAGCTTGTCTCAAAAAATGCCAGATAATTCCCCCTTGGTGAAAAAATGACAAAACCATAAGGGTGATTTACTCAGTAGGTAATACTACTTTAAAAAAAATGTTTTGTAAACCTAACCACATCACTCACCTACAAATGTCTAAAATAGTTTCAATTTTGGGACTGTACACAACAACTTTCTTCTTCAACAGTAGGGCTGTGTATATTAGGATTGTTTCCACCCCAAATATGTTAATAACAGCTGTAAAAATCAAGAGATGAGAAAAAATTTATATTGGTATTTGTTGTTATCAAATTGGTATGCACAGCTTGTAATAAACCCTAATCTTTCTAGAAAGGAAGTATTTTCTCACAAGAAGAACACCAAAGGAGTATTTGCATGGTGTTAATTAATAGTGCTCTGCTATATATGTTTGCTATATAACAATCTCTTAGCATTTCCAAGCTCTAACTTGTTTATTGCTTAATTCAAAAGCAGACCATACTTACATTAAAAAAAAATGTCTTCATTAAACACATTGTATGACTTGGCAGAAAAAAGCAAGAACTAAGTTCTACTATGAATCATCAAGTGCATTCACCTGAGATAGGAGAGGCAACATAAGACAAGCGAGGATCAAAGTCCTTGACTATTAACAAGCCATCGTCACCATTAGGACAAGAGCCCTTAGTAATTACAGACAGATATGGCTCCAGCATTGCACTGGCATCACCAGTTTCTATGAACTTGTTGCACATGATCTTGCATAGACTCTTGTATTTCTCAGGACAAAAGTCCTGCAAAAAAAGAAAAGAAAATCAACAAAATAAAGATAACACATTATTTGTGTTCTTGCAGAATGCATATTATGATGTATGGTTCACCAAATATCCACAGATTTACTAAAATCAAAACAATTTTGGTTTTCAAAAACTCATCTTGCCCGATCCAAAAGCATTTTTATGCGACCACATCTTAATAGATACTAAACAAAACTTTCTTCATTTTTATGGAAAGAGAGATGGATTTGACTGGGGGGGGGGCATCAATCTTTTAGTTGGGGTTGCTGCTGAACTGGTACTGTGGTGGCATAAGAGAATTTTGATCTTAACAGGTTGGCATCTCTGAGAATGGTGTATCAACTGTACATGTACTTTTGAATGAATTTCAGTTCAATATGATTAGATTGACTTGTTTTTATTCTTGGTCCACACAAAAAACCAAGTGAGTCCATTAATTATGAATAATACAAGTCATGTTAGGCAGTGGGCATACCAATTGCATGTTTAACATTACCTTTGCTAACAGTGTCAGTGCCACATGAGTAACCTAGATAAACAAAACCAAAACAAAGAAATTGAAAATAATAAACATCTCAATCATTGTTGTTACTAATTAGACTTGTGTTACAAAAAAACATAAACCTCTGTTAATACAGTAGCTACATACTTGAAAAAAAAATCAAGCTTGACCTAAATTGTATCAGTTCTGAATTCATTCTTAATTATCTATTAAAAACTAATTATGGTCAATCCCATCTACTGTACATGAAATCAGTAAAAAAAGGGGGATTTGGAGGTTTTTGCATCCTTTAGGCATCCTTTAGGCACTGAATACATATCTTGATAAATGCATAGTATATAATAGCTTCTAGTTCTTTTGAAACCATCCTTCGTTCTATAAAACATATATATTTCTTCAGTGGATGGCCCGTGATAACCAAATTCACAATCTCAGTGGGTGGAGTGTATCAGAAAAAGTAGTTAGCGGAGCCACCAGGGGATAGCCCTACCCGTTCCATCACCTTTATAGTCTTTGTTCCTACAGCCATAAAACCAAACCCACCTTGTTTAAAGCATCCGAGTTCTTAACTTCTGACGTGTAAATATAGAACCATTGCTTATTGAACTGGCCAAAACAAAAAGGTATGATTTCCTCTTTGTCGGTCTTGAGGCAGCACTTCCTCAAGAGGACCTGCGGGAATGTTTCGGTTATAGTGGGGTACGACCATGTCCAAAGTACGTCGGAATCAACATCTTTCTCTGCATTTTGAATCCAAAAAAGGAAATAATAAATTTTCCTCCTTAAACATTATGTATAGTGATGATTTTTGTGACGTTTCAAAGAGAACATTTACCGATTAGACAAGCAGCCACTAAATCTCCAAGTCCTGCCATCTTGAATTGTTCAGCTCTCTGTGGAATAATCGCCCGCGGTGTGAATCAGCGGTAAAACATAAAAAATAAACATGGCCTGTTTTTGGAGTTGCCTGTTAACACCGTGAGAAATTTGTTTAAAAAAGGGAAGAACCAGAACCACAGGCCACACAAGATATTTGTGACGATAGCATGTCTATGTTTACGGCGGAGACAGGGCTGAATAATGAAATGCTACATCAGAGGGTATGCGGTCATCAACGCGGACTCAAGTGTTGTGGGTCTAAAATTTAGCCAAATTAACAGAAATAATAAGGGATGACATTTAAAACTGAGGAACTTTGTTTTTGTCAAAGGTATTTTCCTATTTTCAGAGGTTTTAAGGACAAAATTAATTTTCAAAAATTTTTAGGGGGTGTACCAAGTTTTTGAGGTTGATGTAGTAGTAAAACTTTATTTATACACGGTATCAATTCATATTACATGCTCTTCCATCGAGCCGTGTTCTAAATACAAATTAATTAATTAATTAACCAATAATACATCTTGATCTGTAAAAGAAAAGCGGCAAGGAAAACGACGCCTCGAAGCAACAGAATAGGAAATAAATTTTGCAAACTACTAAAAAATCCGGGTAGAAGAGAGGTTCTGTCATTTGCCTTCATTACCGAAACGAAGAGTCCGTGTTAAAAACAGTTTGGATATCTCATGATAAAAGAAGACCAAGATTCAATCTTTCTATAAATTTCACTTGTCCTGACATAGTGGAATAGTTAGTCATTTAACCTTTTCTTCCTCACTTAACGCTAGACACGCGTTCCGAAATCCCTTTTATTGTTTTTAAACTCTCGTGCATGCGCAGTGTTTGGCCCCTGTGTTTTTGGGATCACTTTCCTTATGAGCTAAGAAACCAGAAGCATCCTTGAGGTTTTTCGCATAAGGATAAAGGTAAAGACACACCGGCACTGACCCTCCACGAGACTTTTTTTTGTTTTTTTTTTGTTTTTTTGTTTTGGGAGTGAGTGAAGGCCGAGTGCAATGCCAACACGCACTATCCAAGAAGAGGGTTGACAAGAATGTCAAAATCACTTGGGTAATATTGAACCCAGCCTCTCCCCAGGGCTGGACGTTAACAAAGACACACGGAGGATGAACAGTAGAGACACACGGAGACTTGCTAAACCCAGTAGAAAGCCCAGACACTGACAATTAATAAACAAATAGGAACACACACAAAACATAGTAGTGGGAGAGCCGAACGGGAAAATACTCGGCTCGAGGTCATGACGTACAGATCAAGCGCGGCGAGGTCCGTGTCTCATGACCGAGAGCCAAATATCTTCCTAGTCCGGCCCGACAAAACTCACTCAATAAGCATTTTATCATATGACCACTATGTGTTGAAAATTTCACTTTAAAGAGGACGCGATAGACGGGCACACGCAGCCACGAGTACAAAAGTTCTGCAAATACAACTTTTCTTTTATCTTTCCAAGTCAGAACAAGAAACTCCCAATTACTTTAAAAACGCGACTTTGTTTTGTTTGTTTCTTTTGTTTTTTTGCTGTTTCTGTTTTGTATTTCTGTTTTCATTTAAGTTTTTGCAACAAAGCGATGTGAGGGCAGCAGGGCCGGACGGCTTTTTCCGGACCGGCTCACGCCAACCCGTTCGGCCCTGCATACGTCAGCTTTCACTATGTTTTTCTAAGGGATTGCACGAGCGGGACCTGATGGATCATATAACAACGTAGATTATTTGCACGTAGAGGAACAGTTCATTTCCAGAAACAGAAGCGACAGTACCAGATGCACCCTATTGGACTGAAAACTTACGATGAGCACTTGCGAAGAGCACTTCGAGAAGAGCATCTTGAACGACATTAGGAGCTAAGGGAAAGTTGCATGAAAGGGGAACTTATTGCGAGCTTGCCACAAATAAAAATTCTGCAAAATTATTTTAATCCTGAGAGGTTGGTCTTCAAAACCATTTGGGGATTTTTCAATATTCTGATTAGTTGCTTGGCAATTTATCAGTCAACTTTGCTGATCAACATTTTACCAATACGCATTACGTCGGAGGCCATTACAGGAGATCCATTTTGAATTTCAGAATTTCCCCGCCATACGTTTTTTAGATTGCTATCTTGGGGAGTCTCGGAGCACATTTAGAGACAATCCGCAAAGTTTAAATACCCTATTAATTTGTTCAGAAGGCACATTCGCATTTGCTTCCAGAGTTTCCACAACAATTTACACCTTTGTGTGACCAAATTAAATGTCAAGTTACGTCAACACCGAAGAAAGGGACTTAAGCAGTCAGCACGGCAACGCAAGGGAAGACGTCGATTAAAAAAATTAACTTCTACCTTTAATTAAAATTTTGAAAATGGCTGCATGTGTTTACTGTCTCATACGGCGCCTCAACCTTAGCATAACGTATAAAAGTAGCGTTGAGGTTCCAAATTGAAATTAAAACAATTTGCCGTCGCGGTTTCCGTTCGCGGACGACGCAAATTTTGTTTATTTCACGTTATTTTTTGCAAAGGAAGGCTAAGAAATGTACAAAATTTAAAAACACACATCCTGCGCTGATCTTTTGTTTTTCCACGTCCTCGTTCCATCGCCGTTGTGGTTTGCTTAACGTCCCTTTTCTCGAAATGCCGACCGCAACTTGTAATAGTGTTAATGTTAAGTCCCAGGGAGAAGTGGCGGGCTACCCACGGGAATTTGACTCAGCCAGTATTCCCCTGGGTAGGGATTTTGACACTTGAGAGCTGCTCCTGACATGGCCGCCATCATTTTTTAGTCACGAGCGAACGAAAGGTAAGCAAATCTATAGAAAGCCATACTAGACAAAAGTGGTCGAAAAATATTTTGTTGGCTGAGATAAAATTAGGCAAGATTTCCGTTTAACTCCATACTACATTGTGCATTCAATTCTTGGATAAAGGAAGCAGAGGCAAAACAATAGATTTCGTTTGGGACTATGGCTATGTTTTTGGTATGGGGTTATACGAGAACCTTTCCTAAAATTCTGTTTGTCGATAGTCCAGAAATATTTTTAAGGGTAGAGAAATCTTTTTCATCGGTCGAACAATGCTTGTACGTGTACGAGTTGAGAATTTGTTTTGGTCATTCAAGAATTTTTTTGTTGATCGAGAATTTTTTTGTCTATTGAGAAATTAGATACCTGCATGCTGTTCAGCTGGCGTTCACGCGCAAAAATATGGTCACTAGATACAAACAAAAATGGCGGACCGTGAGGTTGAACTACTAGTCAGCAGCCCATCCTCGTAGTAAAAATGTTGACTTCTGCCAAACTGGGGTACAAAATCATGAAAATGGCGGACGGCAATGGTATTCAGCAAGAACTAATCTCACCCAGATTGTTAGTAATATTGGTGAAGTTTCCGCGGCACTAAACCAGCAAGGCGAAAGGCAAGCGGCAGTAGGTGCAGCAAAAACGATTAGGACGAGGTCTGCACAATTTTCTATTCTGCGTGCAAAGCTCGTCCCATGCCTGCACCGATCAATGCTATGTCCCTTTCAGCTACATCTTCCTCTTCGGCTAATAATTCTCATCAGACTGGTCCTACATACACTATGAGGAGCAACATCTCTAGTTTTCAGATCAACAATTATCGTCTTCGCACAGCTGCGAAACGCAGTCTTCAACAGACAAAAAGAAGTTCTTTTAGTCTTCATCGTGAGCTCCTACTAAAATTATGGATTCTATAACAACAGGACCACAAACAAGTTAGCAGCAGTATAAACGTTGTTATAATGAAACAACAGAACTTCTGTCAGAACTCAACTTTTTACTACGGGGAAGGGCTGCTGGGTTGAATAAATATGTTAAAGTCAATTAAACATTCTCGATCGGCAAAAACAGTTTCTAAACTTGTACATATATTTTTCGAACGATGAGAAAATTTTCTCGATCCTTTAAAATATTTATGCAGCATCAAAAACATTTCTCGACCGAGAGAATTATATCTCGGCCGACGAAAAAGTTTTCTCGATCGTCAAAAATATTGGTTCTGTCCTCGTGTACCGGTTCACAAGAGCCAATACAAAAGACCAAACAATACACAATAGCTGACCGATGACCGATGACTCCTAAACAAAGAAAGAACCATGGTAATTTCCTTGTGAACCGGTACACCAGGACAGAACCAAAATATTTCTAAACCATCGAAAATATTTCTCAACAAATTATTTCTCAGCCAACAAAATATTTATCGACCACTTTTGTATGGCTTTCCATACAAATTTGTTTTATTTTTCCTTACATCTAGGACACTAGCTTATTTTTAGTCTATTCTCGTATTTTTTCAAGTACAAACGTCCTCGTTTCTTTAATGTTTTTCTGGGATTCATCTATGTGCGTTTACATATTCAAGAGTTTTACACTCTACACTTCATAAATATGCACGCTGAATGCCAATTGTTACTCTTTTTTTGCGCCACTTTGAAAAGGTTCTTGTCCAGGAAAGCGGGGGCGAAACATTTCCGTTCTTGACGAAACCATTTAATTTCGTTTACTATCAAAACATTATTGAAATCGATTTTGAAGCACCGTTGGTGTTTCAATGATATGATGATGACTGGGGCGAACATTTGGACATAAAGAAGGTCGACTTAAGGTCTGTAAGAGACAAGGGAAAGATTCGTGTAGGTTTGAAAGAGGCAAGCTTATCTATTGGTTTAATAAATGCCTATTTTTTAACTGTTAACTGTTTATTTATATTAAGAACAGTTTTAAAACAAGTTTTGTTTTCTTTGACATTTATTTGATTCTTCGGTTTGTTTGCATGTCCTCTAAAAAACTATTTAAACTTCATTACGCAATGTTCATTAAAGCTGTTTTAATTGGCTTGACCAATTGAATACAAAGTAGAACCGAATTTAGGCACACCTAAATCCCACTGATGAAGAGACATTCTTATTTATTGAAAATGTATGTCTTTTGTGACAGCAGAAGTCTGCAATTCTAGACACGTTCAGGCTACTATTTTAGTCAATAT